CCATGATTACACATACATCCACAACTACGAAATTAATTTGCCATGTTTGGCATGTACTATTAGACTCTAAGGTCAAGTGAATCTTAAACCCAATTCCGTTACATAAATTGATGATTGTTCAGAGGTTTCAAATGAAATTGTGATGAAATTAAGAGAAACATCTGCTGAACCCAAACCGTCCATAGAAAACAACAATCAAAATTAGTGGCATGCAGTTGTTAATGTCCAATGATCAATTAAGAATTCGCAGAACTCGCCTCGACGTGCACCTCATTCAAACCGGGTTTCAAATCGCATTCAACGAGACGTTTCAGTTCGGCTCTGTCGTTAAACACAACCACACGTTCTAACGCCAGCTCTCGACATTCTTGCTTCACAACGTTGATAGTGCCTTCGTCGGACATCCTTTCCTGAACAAACAGAGACAATATGACTCATTTTCGTCAATTCTTGGCAAAAATAGCTGTGAGAGAATGGAATACTTTGGGAGAAAATTTATGATTTTGAGTAATTTTGCAAAGGAGGGAAAATTATAATCTTTGCATTCTTAACGTAAACCAAAACATATGTTTGGAAAAGCACACTATGCGTTGCTAGGCGGCAAGGGCAAACGCCAGTGCGTGTGGCGAGAGTTGACTAGGGTAGGGGAGGGGGGCCGTTGTCGGGTGCTGGTCGACCAAAGAGCGGCGCTCGAAGGCTGACTCAGCTCGTCGTAAACGGCATACATTGCGAAATGCTGATTTTCACAAACGTAAACGATAACTAGAAAAAAAGAGGGATTAAATGTAGGGGTTTCTCTTGAAGAAGAAGAAAAAGAATGAAGTTTCTGGCAGTTGTGGGAGGTTCTTGAAAGAAGACCGCAGTGATGCAGCAGCGGATGTATCCCAAAACTTTTGTGGAGAAATGCTACTTCCTTGACAATTTCTGAAGAGGATCTTCTCCCTTTGGCCAAAAAAACAGAAACGATGGAAAAAAAGTGGAAGTGTTAAAAAAGCGATTTCATAAGAAGCCCCCCCTCCCCCCTTTCAGCCTATGGCAGCAAAACAAGCATATGTGTTCTCATGATTGCTGAAAATAAAAAAAAAACGAAATATATAGCATTCGCACGTTTTAACCAGCGAGGAATAGTAGTCTGTAGTGTTTTCCAATTATTCCATCTCGCAGTACTCGCACAATTAGTGACTGGGACTTTTCGTGGTTTTGGATGACGAGCGATTATCATTTACGTTCATCTGTGAGAGCTCATGCAGAGAATTTGGGAAGGAAAAAATCAAACAGGTATAACCTGAATTCGTACTAAATTCAATCAATGAATTTGCAAATTTGAACAGCAACTTTTGTTTGGACCATTTTAGATTACCTCCGACCACTTTTGCTATCACTGATTTCATTCTAAGCAGAGTCAAAATTAACACTCATAAAACTACCTCACGAGCGTACAAAGGCTTATACCGAAGTATCGTATCAAGTCTCAAGCTCCTCCTCCAGGAAACAAAAAACAAAAAATAGGTTTGTGTTGCAATCAAGTCTTCTTTCTTTTCAAGGCATTATGAGGCATAATTTAGTCTTATAGTTGGTAGATGCTGTTGGTTTAGGATAGAAATGCTAAAAGTGAACTTAAACTGATGAATATTGAAGAATAAATAGAGTACAACCTCAGATAACAATTTGAGAAGATTGCA